CGTTGCTTCCTGTAGTTCGAGGAGGGGTCTTTCCTCAGGCCGCTTCCCGCCTTCCCCCTCCTCTTCCTCCCCCCAACGATCGGCCTGTACCCAGGCAGCAGTCGCTGCAGCGGTTGGTTGAACGGCGAAAACAAAGGTTATGGCTGACCCGTTACCTCACTGTAGAAAACCAACCCAGTCCTTCCAGCCTCAGCCCGTCTGCTGCACGTTCATGTTCGTGACGGGTTTGTTTCAGAAACAAAATGGCGGCGCTACGCAGAGTTGTTCCATTGGAAGTGGGGTAGCTCGGTAACACGCATACCTGCCTTTCCGCAGGCACTCGTGGATGCTCTGAAGGAGCACGAGGTACATCGAGCAGAAAAGCACCCCTCGGTACTGTGTAGTGAACAGGAACATTGAGCAGAAGAGCACCACTCGGTACCATGTAGTGAACAGGAACAGCGCTTGCAACAATCATTTTGCAGCTGAAGAAGGAAAACCCCAACCATGCAAGGGTTTTTCTGTCAGAGCACAGCAAGGATTCATTAATGAAATGAAGAGGAAGTGGCATCTGAAACAGTTTATACCTGCAGCTGGTTGGAGGTGTTTCAGGTCCAAAATTGCTCTCCTTGGGGATGAACCAGCACAAGGGAATAAGTGCTATCAAAATCATAATCTTGTTGCTGTGTGTTTTGCAAGACAGTGGAAAGTTTGCTCTTTGCTCCTTGCTCCCTTGAGGCACTGACCAACTCCTTGTCCTGTACAACCACCCTTGTAAGAGCCCTGTCTAGCAATTACTCAGACCTCTTCCCTACACCAACCTTCCCTCTCAGTGCAGAGCTCATCTTAAGATCTGTACTATCCTTGGTCAGAAGCACACTTATATTTTCATGCAGCTTAAGCTTTCCTAACGCAACACTATTGCCAGTGCAGCTCTGTGACTGGTAGTCGTAACACCAGAGCTTGTTTAAATGAGGTATCAGTGTTCTTGTCACTGTATGTCTATGAGAGACTATGCAATTTGAAAACCTGTAGTAGCTTTCACCTCACCATCTCTTGGCAGTCAAGAGCACTGCCAAGGCAAGGCTTTGGATTCCAGGCCTGCAAAGCGCAGCGCTTTTTGGGTGGCAAGGGGAAGCTTAGTGTCCAAGTTTGGCAGGAGCTGGGGCGCTCAGCACCTTTCCTCAGATTTTCGGTTTAGAGAGGGTCAGCCCCGTGAAGTGAGTTAAGATGCCTGACTCAGTAAATGAGGACAACCTGCAAAAGTGATGTAACAGCACTGAGTCACCCTTAAAGCCCATTCAGCAACAGTAGTGCTTCAAAGTGCTTTTTTTCCCTTTGCTTCTTAAATAAAACAGGGAAATTAAATGCAGAAATGACTGCTGATTTCTTGACTTGAATACTGCATTAATGTTAGATTTGCCTTTATCTTACACATCCTATTTAAAATGAAAGCTGGCATTGTAGTTAGGTTTCCTGTATCTCCATATTCAGAATGTCATTGGCTGTTCCTTTTAGGTGTCAAGATTTCCTCCAGTCCTTATAAATACCATTAGAAATGAATCTCAAACTCAGGGGAGAAAAGGGATTTAATTCTCAAAGAGATTTCAGTATAAGCAAGTAAGTAACAAAAATGTTTGAAGTTTATGTCTTTGTTTTGAATTTTTTTGCAACTCATAATTATCCTGTTTTGTAACAAGAATAGCAACTAAGTTTAGATCAAGGCTGTTAAATTAACTTTGTAATCACAACTGATAACAGGATGAGAAAAATGGTAATGCAATATTATTGGTTTAAACCTTGAAATTACTCCACATACAGTACCTTCGTCTGTACCATCTGCCCATCTCTCACCCACCCAGGTTTGGCCCTGGTCCCATTGCCAATCTTCTTGAGCTCTCTAGGACATATACATATACGTTGCGTTTCTTCTGAAATTCAGGACCAAATTCAAAGAAATCAGTGGAGTTAACGCTTGTGTAATGATAGCACAAGATGACCCCTCCTATCTTTTGCTATTTTTCACCCTGATCCTTTCCCGATTTGTAGGAATTACATTGGTACATCTGTTATCTGGCCAGCAGAGGGAAGCAGAAAGATATTTTAAAACCATACTGTTTCCCAGCCTGCCCTCTGCCGGGTTTCTTTTCAAGTCCAGCCAACACTCACAGGTGCCGAGGGCCTCCTGGGCTTTCTGGATCCAGCTTTCAAGCTACTTCCTCTGCTGGTGGAAGGAGGATGCCCCTGGCCCCTGCTGGCAGTCTCCTGGTGACTACGTGGTAACCCCACAACTCTGAAAATTAAGTATATTAAGAATTTCTGAAACTTTGTGTACTGGGTATGTAAAGTAGGTAAATCAAGGAAGTATTTGGCATCCTCCCTCTTTCTTCTTCTGCCTTTGGCATCTTCTCTTTCTTCTCCTTCCTTTGATCTCTTCCTCCTTGCTTGTCTCTCCCATCTCAGTGATATCAGGAGTGTATTATCTCAGGATTGAATAACAGCAATCAAGGACGTAAAGGACAAAAGATGAGGGAAAATGATCAAGGTAGAGGAGTTGCTTAAATACCTTCTATAGGCGCCATCAGTCTGTCTGGTCAGCTTCCAGGAGTTCCAGATGACCTGATGCTAAGTTCTGACTAAAAGAGAAGAGGCAGAGTCTTAAGGTAGCTTCACAAAGCACTCCCTTCCCTTTGAGAATTTCCTGCTTGAAGGGCAGAGCGGGCAGGAAGCCAAACCACAAGCTACACAAGGGCTTGGCTGATTCTTTCTTAAGCTTTATCCCTAGAGAAAAGTTGCTGCACCAGGTAGGGGAGGGGAAGCATTAGATCCATTAACGCTAGACCATTTGGGGGTTGCTGACTTAGTTTCCTCCACCAAAAGCAGTTGACTGTGTCCTTTTCAGCACAAGCCATTTTGGAGCACATTCCTTTAGCAGGGTAGTCAGGGATAAATGCCGGTACATGAAGTTTACCCACTTGTAATTTAGGCAATGTAAAGAGCTTATTTGCTTCTTACTACCTGACCTAGAATACCTAACAGGTAAGTTGACCCACTTTTGTAACTCTGCCAGTTTACCAATGTCTTCACACACCCCTGTGGGTACCAGAACACTGGAGTTTGCAAGGTATTTCTGATGGACTTACCTCGCAGCACAGTGCCCCCTTATACTACCAGAATACGATTCGAAGGGCACAGAGGTGTGCAGTCACTTTAGCAGGAGGTAGCTTTCCAAGGGCGTGTAGATATCTAATCTCCAATTACTTTCAACAACGCTGAGGTGATGATGGTGATGCCAAACCCAGAGCTGGATGCATCGGATGGGAGAAAGGCTCGGTAGCTGTTTCCCTTAACACGTGCTATCCCGGAAGGCACTAATCAAGAACGTGCTGCCAGAGTAGTAACTCCCCTTTATGGGGCAGGGCTGAGCATGGGACTCCATCCAAGCCTCAGCAGGCTGGTCAGCAGGAGCAGCCAAGCCTGGGCAACACCAGGGAATAGAGCTTGCAGATGCAGTTTTTTATCAGCTGCTTTGGAAACCTGCTGCAATTTTAATAGCCAGTTCTAGCAAATTGGACCAGTCTTGCTTTCCTCAGCATAACCCTCTTGTCCATGGAGCACAGGGTGGAGAACCTCAAGCACGTGGCAGGGCTTCCACATGACAGGGCCACATGGAGATGCAAGCCGAAGACCAGGGCAGTGCAGTGTCTGTTCTCCTTCTAGTTCTGGGGGTTGATAAAAAATAGCTCAGGATCCCTGCCTCCTCCATGTGGACAAGCCCTCAGACCACATCTTCAGAAATCTCCTCCTGTAGGTTTGGCATCCTAGGAGTATCACACAGGGGCTGAACTGAAACATAGCGTAAGTCAGAGCAGCTCTGGTGAAACTCCCAGGGTTGCATCACATACCTCAAATTTTGGTTTGTCCTGAAGCATTTTCCTACAAAGAAAAATAAGTGAAAAAGATTATTTGTGACTATATCTGCTTTATAACTCAGGTGGCATTTTTTTGAGGAAGGCCAAATCTGCAAGAATTATGTGTGCACATAACGAGAACTGGAGACCTGGGATCTGATCCCTTGCAATGCTCTTCCAGTTTTAATGGAAGTGGCACATATTTGGGTTTTATTATTTTTAGCACTGTAGTAGCTCTATTACACTTGTCCATGCATGTAGCAAGAAAGAGCTCAGCTGCAGTGGAAAAAACAGACTGGTGAAGTGATTTGCCCATGATCTCACTGTAAATCAACAGCATCTTCTCCAGTAGACAACACTGCCTGCCCACTCCCATCTATTCTTCCCTTTAGTCTGCTCTTTTGCAAGACCAAGCAGAGCAAGAGCCTCCCTTCTTCTCTCTGCCGTTTCTGGTTGTTTCTTAAGGGGGAGCAAGTCATTCCAGGATTGCTGCTACTGTATGGCCATCAGCACAGGTCCTGTCTAGATGGTGGGTTTTAATCAACCATACACTCGTCCTATGCAGGCTTCCATTTCCCCACTTTCAACCTTGCATCTTTCCTGCTCCTTCTTGATCCTGCAAAAACAGTCTACACTGTCAAATCCCTTCATTCAGCCTCGTGTCTTTGCATGAGTGGAATAATGCCCAAACTACTTTCTTTTCTCCTCTCAACTGCACATTGCCTTGTTCTTCAATCCCATGCATCCTAGTCTCTTTCCCTCACTGTTATGCACACATTATTTGGGGGGGGAGGCATCTGATTACTGTCAGAATCCAACTCTGAAGTCATCAGAACAGGAACTAAGTCGCTTCCAGGCACTTCCAGAATATTTTCCATTAGTAACTGGCAGACAAGACAATTAAAGAAGTTCACATAATGGTAGAATGCTCTTAAAGATCAGGAACTTCAGCTCTTTCCATCCTACATACTGGAATAATTTCACATTTATGTTAGTACAAAGCTATTTCTTTCATCTTGTATGGTCCCAGACCTTCCAAGTCCCACTTTTTTTTCTGGGATTGGCAGAAGTAGGGCATGCTACCAAGGGCATTCAACACTTCATGGGGCCATGTCTGAAAAGCTGGAGGTATTCTGTATGACACAGGCGGGTTCTGATTTATTTGGCTCTATAAATAGAATCCCGCCCAGTCCTCTTTTTGAAAAGCCCAGAAAGAGAACAGTCAGGAAAGGTGTGGTGACTGCAAATAATGCATTCTGCCCACATGCTGAATTAATTAAGTCCCACTCAGATGTTACAGGTGAGATTTTAGATTTGCTGTGGCTCCCAGTCTATACAAATTGCCATGTAGACAGTAGAGAAATTTGATCTTCCCGATACTCAGAAATATTCAGTTTTCCATGCAACAGGAGACTTGCATTAAAAGATTATAATTTTGAAACAAGGAAGACATCTACCTCAATGCACAATTACAATTTGGGAGTGCAAGTGATGACTTGGACAATGGTACAGGAAATACAATAATACCATCATTTATGCTGCTGGTACACCTTCAGCTGGAATGTTATGTTTAGTTCTGGCCACCCTGACTCTGAAAAAAGGTTACGGCAGAAACAGACTCAATTTAGAAATAAGAGATATGATCATTAGAGTCCCAGTAAAGAATGAAAACACTGAAGATGTTTAATTTAGAGAGAAGGCAAATAAGATGGATTGAAATGTATTTGAGATAGTTAACAAAAATGAAATAGTGAGCTTCTCCCGTATCATATAAACCAGAAGGATATCAGCATAAACTTAAAAAACAATAAATTTAAACTTGAAAGAAAGAAGTAATTGTACAAACCATGTTCATTCTCCATTTGTAAACTGGGATGGTAATTTACCATGAAAGCTGTTTGGAGCAACAGATATACAAATTAAAAAAATAATTAATAGTAGTTTATTTGTGGAACTCACAGCCATAAGGGCCAGTAAGACCAATTGTAAGCAAGGTTTAAAAGTTGTTTAGATATATATGGACACATATGGACTATATGGACCATTGCTCTGCTCCAGCATCACTGTTCTCAGAGTTGTTCCTGAAAGAATCGGTATGTTTTGGTCTACGCTCAGAAAGATGAAGAGCAGGGACGTACTGGGGAAAGGAGCTGTCCCATTGGTATCGGTGTGAGCCTGGGCCTGTGTCTCATTGCATTTGCCCCAGGAGAGAGGTAACTAATGCAGCTTGGTCCACACGTGTGATATTTCTCTTGCTAGAATGAAATCCAAGGCCCAGGATTCTATAGTGTCACTCATCAGTCTGCAGAGATCAACGGCACCTCATTGTCAAAGAAAGGAACAGCATACTTCCCTTCACTGGTAAGAGGAAGTATTTTATTTCAGACTGATTTCCAAAGCTGCTAAAGCCACCTAGTGCCTTTGTATTGACTTCAGTGGACTATGGATCTGGTCTTTAACTGACTCTGTTGACTATGTCTGCAATACCTATTTAGGGTTGTATTGGGGATTTTTCTAAAATCCAGCCAAGAGGGAAAATGATTTCTCATTGTCAGACAGTTATAATTAAGGTGGAAGTCCAACAGCTCTTCTAAGCTGCTTTTTCATATGCTCTTATCTTTTAAATTTCTACTGGGGCTGAAATTTCCTTTGCTCAGTCTCACCCAGAGGTGGTCCTTTTTAATTTTGCATGAACCTTTTCAAGCAAAATTGGCAAAGCTGTTGTTAAGTTACTAAAGTGTAAAGAAGGATACACACACACACACACACTCACTCTATGGACTCATTTAGAATATTGTACTAAGCTATCTGAAATTTGTAGCTAAAGTGAATAATTTGAGCATCTGTTCTCTCTAACAAAAGATGTAAAGGTTGTCTTTAAGGTTTCTTTTGCAAGCTGATGAGAATCTCCACCCCAAAAAAGAAGAAATCAATGCAACTTGGTACCTGAAAAAGTCACCCTCACCCCCATTTCATCTCATAGAACTTGCGGCCATCAGTTCTGTGTAGCAGTTTCTGCTGTTTTTAAAATGCAAAAGGTGATCTGTCCTTAAAAATTAGATTTGGTAAATTCCAGGCCATGGTTACTTCCCAGCTCAGCTACTGACAGTTTCCTTGCTCCCTCTGTTTCCAGGTTCCATGCACTACATGCAAGAAAATCTCCAACTATCCAGCTGCGAATGCCTACAAGATCCTGTCATGTTTTCAGCCCAAGCAAGACTTCAGCAAGGAAAACCCGAGCATGTTTCAACACCCCATTGCTAGGTCGATTGAGAAAATCCCCACTCCAGCACACAATCAATGCTATGTAAGTAGATTTGCCAGGGAGGACAAGGATGGGGGCGGGTCACAGCTAATGTATAATGTTTGTGAAGTGATGTTTGATGTTCCAGAAGACACTAGAACTAGCTGTAACCTACCTGGTTTGGGTGCAGCTCTCAGGGTAGCTGCAACAGCCCAGACCTTTGCACCAGGTACTTATTCTGTGCCTGATGATTTTGAGGTCTGTGCCACTGTGGGCAGTTTGACACCAGTATCTAAACAAACGAGCATGAAGCTAGGTCAGATATTTCTGCATGATCTGCTGTCTTACCTCTGATTGTGCTGCAGATGTACCGCGTGCTGTTGTGAACCTTGAGCACACATCGGGCAATAACTCTTCAATACCAAGGGAGCAAGAATGCATCCCTGACACTGGGATGGCAGTAACCCGTGTCCTTGCCACATCCACCAGCTTTGATACTGAAAGACCCCAGAGCATCCCGTGAGTTTTCATCCCAGAAATCTGACCTGCGTTGGTTGGTTACAGGGAACTTCTGCCAAGAAGCTCAAGGCAGGTGAATGTTACGTCTTTAACAGGTGCTGGGTTTTGAGGTTCAACCTCAGAGCTGGGAATCAGGTCTGTGTACGTACAACTGATGTAATTGACTGTGCCCTTCCACTTGCCATGGAGCTGTGCCAGTTTATATCAGCCAAGGACCTAGCCTTCAGGTTCAGTTCCTGAACCTCCTGCTGATTCACCCTTGTGTAAGTCACTTAACTGTTCTGTGCCTGATACTCCCCACCCATGCCACGGTGACCAGGCTTCACTGGGGTGTTGTAAGCTTTAGTCCACAGGAATTCAGAACGTTTTGAGATACAGAAGATACTAACAAAACACAAAGTGTTATTAACAATTATCAGATAGTTTATAATAATATATGCAGTGCTAATGGACTTTTCTGTCCCTTCAATGGTGTCTTGCTATAACTGTGATTACTTTTGGATTCTTTTGTTATTCTTTAGAGAGAGTTTTTGTCTTTTTCTGCACAACATGTCCGCATTGCAGCCATTTCCTAGTGAGCTGTCCCCTTTTAAAGTGCACTTTAATGCAAGATACATCCACTTTGTGGTAAGGCAGAGCACGTTGACTCTTTATAATATTTGATGACTTTGCATAGCTGTTTAAGACAGAATGAAGACGACAAAATTTAATAAGCTTAATAAGCTGCCACTCATCAGCTGAGACATCTTAACTGGCTGCATGCATGTTCCTGAAGCAATTCATGCTTTTATAGTAATTTGATACAGTTTAAACATCAGCAAAGGTGTTTTAAACAAACATGTCTTACCTCACAATTTGGGTGTGCAAAGAGCACACGTACAGAGTTACCGAGACTCAGCTGACATGGGGTAATCATGTTTGCTCACACAACCTATACGCTAAGACTCTGAACTTTCTTATAATGACTCACTCTGACTGAGTATCTGCCCCAGCATGTTCTAAGTTGATTAAACTAGTTTGCAGGCCATAATTATTTTCTATATCATACTGTAATGGATTCGCATCATATTATTTTTAACATTGTAAGAATTTGCTTCTGGGAACGGCCTTCTTGAATTAATCACTGACTCATGATTTACTGTAGGAGATAATATCTAACCTACAAGAAGCAGAACAGGAAACTATCTATTTAAAAGATGGCAGTGTCTGATAATTTATGACTATAGACAAAGAGACATCTGAGAAGAAAAAGGTGGACAGATCCTGCAGTCTTTACATGGTCACTGCTCTCACTCAGGCAAAAAGGAACTTATGTCTAGTAACTGGAGGATCTGCTTTTGAGGCATTGACAGCTGAAAATTTACAAATATTGGAGAAAAAAACAGAGTGAGAAACAAGAAGACAGTGTCTCAAGCTGTCCTTAAAGCCATCTTCAGCTCTGGGACCAAACCCTATCTTAAAATAAAGCCAGTTAAACATCATGACATTGTAGGCATTTCACCAGCTTACAATAGGAAACATACGAAAAAAAACCAGGGAAAAAGCATCAGGCTTTTTGTGTTTGAATCTTAATGCACGTGTCATCTTGCTACCTCCCCACTCTTGTGCGTGAACTGGACTCTTCCACTTACATCATTGAATTAGCCTGGACCATTAGATGTTTTCTCTAACTATAGCCTGATTAGAAAAAGTCAATTTCAGCAGCCAACAATAAAAAGCTTTAAATCCCAGACCATGTTCCAGGAGGTAAGGCTTCATCCTGGGAATCTGAAGAATCTTTCCTTTGTCCCATTTCACCAGTGATCTATTCTGTGATTTTGGGTAACTCATACAGCCTTTGGCACCGTAGTTTTTTTGACTCTGTAAGGAGAGCAATTCTCACTTTGAGTGTGAGGCTTCTTAGGAGCTGTGGATGAAATGTGTTTCTATATATATTTTGTCAAAGAGCTGCTGTGTGCACCAGGGCAGTGACTGCAGCAGGTAGCTGAGCACTCCAGAAGAGCAGTGTGACCTGCTTCCCCAGGGACTTTTGGCACCTCTGTCCAAGTTAATTAGCTCGGGGACCGCTAGCAGCATAACAACAGTGCTGCACACTGAGCTTGGTGCAAGCTGCAGGAGGGCACAAACGCTCCAGCAGTTATCTGCAGGCTTGAACGAACTGAAATACAGATCCTTCAAGTCATCCTTAGCTCAAAGCCATCAGCCCACCCTGCAGTCCCAGCAGCAACAGCCACAGAAACATCTCCTTTTCTCTGTAGTGCTTTCCAGAGGCTGCCATGCAGATGCTCCTTTGGTGTCTTGGCAGCACCACCTCAAATTCTGTGCTCAGTTGGCGACTTGAACAAAAATGGATGCTTAGAGCTGACATTGGAGAAGTCTAGAGACAGCAGCTAAACACACAAAGCCACATTTTCTGCAAGAGTTTCAAGTCCTTGGCGTCTGTGTAAATGCAACCTTTACATGCTGGGCAGTCACAAAGAGACCTACCTACAATTGGTAAACACTCCCAGATTTTGGCCCTAATACTGCCTACAGCTGTATCATTAGAATCACTCACAATGGAGACAACTGGATTTTAAATGTGGGTTTTCCTTTGTTGGTAATTACCCACAGGTAAAGTCAATTCAAAAGCATTCACAAGCCCTTTTTCTTTTTCTGAAACAGACCTCTATGGATTTCTGCAAGCAAAGCAACTACGTTTCTGGCCAGACAGTGTTTATGTCCCAAACCACAAGAGGATTAAATTTGGAAAAATTTGGAAAACGGCCTTCTCCATGTACAAGAGCCTTGAACTGGGAGGAAAGACGTTGCTGGTGATTTTGGTTCTGATCATCCAGGGTGCAGAGCACCATCGCACACAAATTCAGGTCACTCAGAGCTTCTTAAGGCATGTTCAATTTAAACAGGTGTCAGGACACTAGTTAGTCTCCCTTCGAAGAGCTCTGGGTAGGTCCCTTTGAACCTATGCTGAGACAACAATCTGGAAACCATCCTGACAGTTTTGAGTAGCTGTAAGGAATCGCTATAATACCCCACAACTCAGTGTAAATGCCAGAGGCTTCAGGAGAAGCCACGTTAGTGCATAATGTACCAAGCTCCACAGTACTCGAGCTGCAAAAGAAGTCTACTCCTGGCCCATTGCCTGGTGAGGTTTGAGACCTGGAGTGTGAAGGCACATAGCTTTGTAGCTTATCTTACAAGTTATACCACATGCGAGTTCTCCTCCCGTTTGTTTGATTCTTTAAAATTGCTAATATCTGTGTTTGTTTCTATGCTCAGGACAAAGTTTAGTGTTGCCTTATCAGTGTCCCTCGAAATAAGCTCTGCCCAGGACAGCACTTTTTAAATCCAGAAGTGATTTCCCCACACAGTCCTGTTATACCGGTTCTTTTTCCTTCTATTACATTCACTGACTGATGCACTCTCCTCAGTGCCACCGTTGCGGCCTTGTTTGGTATTTACATCCCTTTCCTGTTTGTCTTGTAGGTCACTACGACATCAACGATTCCCTCATCAAGGTGTCTCCCAAGGGTATAACATCCTGCTTCAAGTCAAAGACCTCCCGCCTAACAAGGATGTACGGATTTACTCCAGAGCCTGCAACCTAACAGCCACATAAACCGACCAAAGAAGCAAAGAAAACTCCTTTTAGGTAAGTCCAGCCTGGAAGACATGCCACGTTTATGGGACATATGAAAATATGTCAGACAGCAGAGTGATCCCACAGCGTCCCACTATACCACCTGGTCCAATGGGGCCAGTTATTGCCACAGGTTTACAGGAACTGGCTCAGAGGTGGAAGTGTTACAGTGCACTGCCTTGAAGGGGAGTGTGGGTTGATAACACCCCGGAGCAGTGTATCAGAGGTACCTTTATCAGATGATCTCTCAGACATTTACAAACAGTAATTAAACACTGCACCACCCTTATGATGTAGGGGTAGTTTCTTATCCCTGTCGTACAGAGCAAGAAGCCAGAGCACACATGACCTGGAAAAGGATCCTTCATATCCCAGGCAGAGGCTTTAAGCATTAGGCTGTGTTTCTTTTGGATGTGCCTAGACCCAGGCCCCAGAGGAACACACTGGGCATAAAGAGTCAAATCTGTGAACCGCTGGGCGGCAATGGTGAGGGATGCTCGTGGCTGCACAGCATCTCAAGGAACCTGGGCATTTCCTTAGCCCCTGCTAAGGCTGGGAAGAGGCTTGTAAAAATCTCAAGTACTTCCTTCAAGCCAGAACTGCCATTCCCTTGTATTCCATCCTACCGCTTGTTTAAAAGAGATTAAAAGGCATGAAAGGAAACTCCCTCCTCCCAAGCCCTTCTCCCCCTTGCTGTCCTTATGAGAAGGCAAATAAATCTGCCTATCAGCAAATTGTTCAAGTAAATTTATTGTCACCATGCAGTGACGTTGCCTGGCCTAAGATTAAGATCAACAATAAATTCCTGACCGTGGAAAAGAATGAGAACATGAGAAAGCCCACGGCTCTCCTTACCCAACAGGTGTATCTTTACTACATCTCTCAGCAGTTGTATCTTATAACAGGGGTTTTGTAAAAAGAGTGGGAAGCTGTAGGCTGGGAGGGAAGCAATGCCAAGTGGCATTTGATAAGGACAGAAGGCTAGAGGAAAGGGCAAATTAAATACGAGGAGAGAAGATCACCAGTCTGTATTATCAGAAGACACAAAAACACTCCACACCCAACTGCTGGGGTTAGAGCCTGCTCCCTCTCCTGTTTCAGTCAGTGGGAGAAAATGGGAGGAACTCCCAGTTGGAGTCATTTGGCATTGCTGTCTTGGTTTCAGCACTATCTTGCTTTGCAGTAGCTGGGCAGCCAGGTCTCTACAGAGGCTGGACCACTGGCAAGTCTTTCTATTTTACAATAAACAAAGAGGACTGTCTATGGCATTGCAATTGGACCCTTTCTTCCCCCAGATCATTTCCCAAAGATTTTGGCTTAGAAGGATAAAGTATCCACCTCCCCAGGGCACTTAACAGAAACCACAGCTTTTATTTCCAGACATAAAACCCCATCAGTGTGGGACAAGTTCCTCAAATCTCTTTTTCTCCTGGCAGGCAGGAATTCTGCTTGACTCTCTCTGCTCCAGCCATCCCACCTTGTAAAGATCCTCCTTCGCCTGGGCCCAGGCAATACAACCCTGTGGATTACAAAGGGTCTCCAAAGCAGGACTGCTCAAGGCAGACTGCGTTTGTCTCAAACACAGGGCAATGGACAGAGTGTGGATAACAGGAAGCGTTCCCTGGGCCAGGTAAAAATAAGAATTGTTCTGAAGTACTTCTCACTACTACAGATAGCAAAACACAAATGTGACCAAACAGCGCTATTGCCCACTCAACAGGAAAAAAAATGAAGCACAGAAATTAGGAGAGCTCACCCACAAAGGCATGTGGACACCTGAAGACACACACCATTTCTGAGAGGCACTTAGCTCAGTAGCACACAGCATGTAGGACCTTTTGTGAATGGGGGACAGTAGATTTATGATGAGCACCAAGTGTCTAAATCCTTATAAAATCAGAGCATAGCATCTCCTGACACCTTCAGATGGTCCAATGTCATCCAAAGGGCCACACAGCAACAATGTGGCAGAAGCAGCACTAGAGTCCTGACTACCAGCTCTTTGTCCAACTCACTGGTCCGTATTTTACAATATTATTTTTAAAGGCAAGATTGAAAAAAGCGTGTTTGCAATGTAAAGGCCATTAAAGCATCACTGACTGTCAGTGCATTCGACAAACAGGTTCTGTGAGTTCTGGTGCATGTGTCAAACTATCACATAATTCTGGCTGTTGGTACAACAGACATTTCACCTGCAATATTTTTCTATTTGATTGGAAGAGAGGAGCACTTGCAGGGAGAGAGGGTGAGGGGGAAGGCATGCCTGCTTACGGTAGAGAGAGCCTCTGTGCCCCAGCTGGAGAGCCGTGTTACAGAGCCCCTCAGCAGGGTCTCCTTGGTTTTATATCTCTCTGGCTGTCCTGTCCTCCATCGGCTTCACTAGAGCTTTCCTGACGTAAAGCTGAGTAAAATGGGAGAAGAAACACATCCCGCAGCTTGTAATCAGGAAATGCCTGGGGAAGTGGGAGGAGGGACCCACCCTCAGTGAGGAATGGGTTAAACAGCCTGACTTACGGTGACATGCCACCAGTCCCTCCAGCCATGACCAGTGGGCAGCTGCCCGTCTCCTGCAGGCAGTGGTCACAGCTGGAGTCGTTCCTCAGCAGAAAAGGGACAACTTGCACAAGAAACAGTGCTGAATTCTGACCCTGACATTAGCATTGATAAGAGAGAGGTGGATGCAGGGACAAATCCTGCTGCATCTCCTTGTGTTGAGCAGTTCTTGACTGTGTGGATACAGAACTCGTCATGGGGTGGAGGTAGAGCTCAGCTCAGCCTGGGCGGATCGTGTCCCTCAGCGCCCGTTGGCTAATTGTTGCCAGGCTCAAGTAACATTATTTTTTTTCAGTTAGTCAGACTCATATTTCTTGCCCTGTTTATTTCTTCTCAGATTCTTAAGTCCTTCTGGGACGTTACGACAGGGCTGAAAAAGCAGACAATAGCAATACTGCTATTCTTTCTAGTGTTTGAACTTACCCAGCTACAGATTTTGTACCAGCCACAGACAGCGAGAGAACACGCTGGTGCCATTAGTCTCTCCAGAGCCCTCGTGGCAGCACAAGTGGGGTAATGGGCTTTTCTGGAGCCACGTCCAGATCATATCCCAGACTTGCAACGTACTGCGTCAACATGCCAACTCCCCGAGAGCTGTTCTGCTGACTAAGCTAGGATGAGAGCCCCAGCCAACGTAAATCAGTCTGTTTCAGTTAAAGGAACAGAGCTAGGCCAGTTTATTCATGCTGAAGATCTGACCCACAGTTGTTAAGGATGGTTACCAAATTCATTAAAGAGGAGGGGAATGGGCTAGAAATACCTTCTGCAGATGGTGGAAAAATGCCCTCTTTCATTTTCATCAGTCTTTTACACCAGTTTGATTAGAAACCCATGCAATACCATGTCAGTGCATGAAGGGGACACCATCACCACAGACACAGGCATCCATGTAGTCTTTGCTTTTTTACTAGAAAAACCCCACATCTCCTTTCCACTCTAGCCTGAAAAGAGGGGAAGAAAATTCCACTGGATCAAAACGCCCAGTCATGAGATTAGACGTGACTTGAGCCCTTTGCCCACAAGAACGCATAATACGTAGAGAACTGTTCTGTGCTATGCCACAAAGAGCAGAACTACAGGGAGGCAAAACACTTCACAATTAAATCAGTCAGTGGCTGATACAAAGCAGCAGCTTTATTAAAGGCTGGTTATTCAGCAGTTGTTAATGCCTGGGCTGTTTGGAGGCAGGGGCTCAGCGTTTCCAGGAACTCTGGCTAATCCCTTGCCCACGAGTCACAGTCAAATGTACATTCAAGACAACCCTCGACATACTAAAGCTAAACCGACGTCTATGCAAACCAAACGTTAGCGCTAAACTCTAATGCTATGGCCAAAGACACCTTCCAGGTGAAGATACCAGGACATTCACACAGGCTGAGGGTTTTAGTACCCACCTCACTGATCACAAATTTAGTTCTACAATCCAAGGAACTACCAAGGACTTAAGTGAGAAAGCAGTGAGGGGACCCTCACTGACTTCATTAAAGCTTTCCATACTGCGAAACAGATGCAGACAGAGTTTCATTTTCCTGTCGTTGATCCTCTCCGATACCCAACACAGCACCAGGGCATCTCCAAACACAACGTGTGGGTGTCCTAACAAAACACAGGATGCTGTTTTTCCCTTTATAGCGACAGAGAACCACACCACACACCAAGATCCTCAGCTGCTTGGTTGATGATGCAAGGAATGAATAAGCATGAATAAAGACATAGAAACTGGGTGTTATTTGTGGAAGTGAAGAGCAGAGCCCTCCGCCCAGCACTGGGGATACCAGAGCTCTTGCACAACTCAGCTCACATGCTGCTATGTCTCTCTTTTTTTTATGCAGCTCTGTCATTGCAGGCGCTTATTTGCCCAGAGCACTCGGGAAGTATTCCTTCATCTACAGCTACGGTAGAAAGTGGCTCCCGGCGCTGTGAGCAGCAGAACCCGGACACCACAGCAGGGTCCCTCAAACATGACTTCCATCAAACTCTGCAAAGCACACACTAACTCACAGTAAGCAGTCCTGTCCTCAGCCTGCTGTGGTTGGCTCACTGATAGCTCAGCAGCTAATTAGCGGTACTTGGTACTGTATATTGGAAAATGATCATTAGCTAAAGTTGATTTGACAGCTTCCAGTTTTGTAGATGTTGAATAATTACTACAATTGATGGGCACTGCAAAAAACTCCTCTTAGTGTTTTCATCTGATAAACCAAAGAGAAAACAGATGCTGGAGACTGACCATGCCCACAGGAGTTGTTAACCTGGGGGGGGAATCCTTTCTTATCAGGGTTGAAATACGGGATAAGGGCAGCGCGGGCAAATCCTGCACCTCTGCCACTTGCTCGCCCAGAGGACGGACGCTTGGGTTTGCCACGCAGCGTCAGGCCTTGGCGCAGCTGAAGCACGATGCCTGCGCGGAACACGCATCAAACCTCCATGGTGTGCGTGTGCCCAGACACCCTCCGCCGCACGCCCACCAGGTACGTTTGACGAGCCAGTTGACTTGAGCGTTTCTGACTCGAGTCGGCACAAACCAGCTCCCGACTGTCCAGAGCAGACACTGCTCCAGAGGAAGCTGCTCTCATTTGTCAGCGCGAGCCCTTTGCAAAACACAAGTGGGTTCATACTTTCACACGACCTTTGTTGGCTCAGAGGTGAATCGCCTTCATCACTCGTATCTTAATCTTCAAAAGGAACTGGTGGGCTCCGGGCAAAGAGTCAAGAATGCTTTCACATATTTGGGAGCTCTGCTTTACGCAACCTCTACAGCAACTCGCCTTTGCTGGAAGGGATGAACGATACTGAGCCAGTCAGCAAAACACCCACCCTCGGCAGGGGTGGCAGGGGGCGGTGACTGTGTCTGCTCTTACACTGGCGTGAATCAACCGGCATTTCCCTGCACACAGTGGAGTTACCATGATTTAAAACCTGACAAAGTCAAGATTACCCAGAACCTGCACAAGAAGCAGCACCTGGTTCTCTGTCTCTAGCCCATGAACAGAAAGCAGGGGGGGGTGTAGACACGCATAGCTCCAGCCAGGGCAAAACTTGGAAAACCTTGCAAAACTTAGGATGGGTTCGTAGCCAGTGTGAAATGGACCACCGTAAAATCCAGCAAAATCCATCATTGTTCTGCTGGGAACCTAAAGTTACAATGTGAGATGATTTTTGCTGTTGTAAATTAGGACTAATGTTACTAGAGTCAATGGAGTTAGACTTGCGTAACTGAGAAGAGAATCAGTCAGGTAGCGCTGTGTTTACACTGGTAGGAAGTTAGCCCCAAGATCAGACTTTTAGAGCAACTAATTGAGGGATAAGAGGTTTCCAAAAGCCCATAACACTGCACGCACAAAAATCCCCACAGTTGCCTGCAGCCCTCCCAAATCTGTCCCACACGGCAGAGCGAGCCACCTTCGCTACCAGGGGTTTCCCCACAAACCCCAGCCTCTGCCAGGGCAATGGCAGCTCCCTGGGGAGAGCACTAGCACGGTGCAGAAACCTAGAGCGAGACATCGGGGTACTCCCAGCTCCGTCCATCTGCTGCTTGTACCGATTCCTTGTGTTCAGGCCTCTCCAATGGTGTGGAGGACACGGTGCTTCCCCTGAACCCCCTTGTCTCTAAGGGGGCTGGGTTCATCTGCCACAGGCAGCGGGAAATCTCTGTTCTTACCTTAGCAGTTAGCGCTTGTCCACGTGGTCAGGCAGGATCGGTTCACCCTCCCCAGGGGCAGCCCAGTGCTGGCCGGGTGCCCTGTGCCTGGAGTCCTGCTGCAGAGCTCTCCCTGAGAAGAGCACAGCCCCTGCACCCGCCTGATGCATCAGGGCGACAAGGGGATCTGTAGGTTTCACAGCCATCAATGCTAAGCGTTGGGGGATTCCTGTATGCCTGTTCTTAACTGGAGCTGAAATTCTGCTATAGTGAGACCGTAGGCACAGCCTTGCAGAACTAACACTGAATCAGAGAAATCCTGCTGAAGAAGGAGTTTATGATATGAAGGAGTGCAGAGAGCTGGGAGAGATCTTCAAGGGTTGATAAACCTTCAAACTTATCCAAGCCTCATCTT